GAACCAGGGTAGGTGGCGGAGACCGGAGTCACGATCCGGGGAAGCCCGGGAAGGGAGGAAGGAGCCCGGGGCGGAACGCTGGTGCCGGCCGTGGGTAGATGGGTTACGGCCGGAGTGACCCCCGTCTACCGCGTCGGGGCGCAAGCAAGCCCCGATGCTTAGGGCCCCGGGCTGGGACCCAGAGAGAGGGTGGGACAGGGTCCCCCTCCCTCCCCCGAAGGAGCATACAGCTCTGGATAACTTTAACTTAGACCCGTCATAGAACTAGGACCCCGAGTGGGAGCGAGCTTGGACTGGGGGCTCAGGCCCCCACCCCGCAGGGATGGGTGACAATTGCTGGGTCCGCTGACCCCCCCTTCCTGCCGGGGAGGGGGTGAGCGCACCCCTCACCCCTCACAGTGTATTCACACAGATGCTGCTGCAGCAGCTACGCGACAGCCAGAAAAGCTTATGCAGCAGGAACTGGCAATGGAGTGAGAGAAGAGCGATCCCTTCATGTCACGAGTTAGCATTTAAGGGAAATTTCATCCCTGTCCGGTAGCTGTCAGTGAGCAGCACAAGTCATAGCCACACCCCACGCCTGCCCGCAGAGGTTTTCTTCCCAGCAGGTGTCTAACAGGGTGGTCCCAGGACACACCACGACAGTGTCCCTATGCACTATGTTGAAATCAGAAACTCTGTTCTTGCTGGGTGCCATCCACTACCTTGGGCGGTCCCAGGCCTGCAGCTTGTCATGGATTCAGCTCGGACACCCAGGGTTACTCAGCTGCAGTGCCCTAATTTCCAGTGTGGGATCTAAGTCAGGCTTTGCTCTAGCAAGCTCTCCTCTGCCAAAGGGTTTGCCTGGCTTGAGGAAAGCATGATCCCTTGCCCTGACCTTTAGCTTAAGCTCCACGTCCTTTAAGATGCACATCTTCAGTGGGTGGAAGGCCAGCTGGGCGTGTGCTCGCCCGCCTGCCTCCACAGTGCCATCCTCAGGCATGATGGAGACGTAGCGCCGCAGGGCTCTGGGGCCGGAAAACTCCCACGAGAAGCTGAAATTGAACTTGCCAGTGTTCAGCACACAGAAGTTGCGGTGAGCAGATTCGTTGATTTCCACCTGGAGGAGAGCACAGGGGTTAATATCCAAAGGGCCAGCGCACACAGCATGAATGGATGTCCTGCCATGGGTAGCGCTGAGCCAGAGAGGGGCTTGGGCTCTTCTGCAGCCCCACACTGCA